AAGGGAGACCGGCCCAGGTCTCAAAAAGGTTGCCTGCCCCTGCCCTAAGGGGATCCTATCATGGAGTTTTCTTTGCAAGATTTGTTCAGAAGGTGTTTGCCTTTACTTCCTCTCAGTGGGAGAGAGTGTAACTTGCCCAAGGTCACCCAGTGGGTTTCCATTGCAAAGCAGGGATTCAAACCCTGGACCTTGAGAGTTGTAGTCCAATGCTCAAAACACTACACCAAGCTGGCTCCTAAACAGTGTTACTGTTGTTTTAACCACAACCATTCCAATAACAGTGTTTGTGAGATTTGGCTGGGTAGGTGGATGGGAGAACAAAGCTAACCAGGATGCACCATAGCCTGCATATTGCTTATCTCTTTACTTGCTTTAGGGCATTTTGAATATATGGGTATGGGTGGAAAAAGGGTCCCCCATTTCATTCATATGTACAATTTATTTGAAAAAAATGAGACCTGGAGAAAAACTGATAGTGAGAAGTAAAGTTAGAACCCATATTACATATGTAACTGAGTCCTAATAGCTGCCTTGATTCCCAATTTTGGGAGAAATGTAGGATACAGATAAATATAATAATTCTTGCTTGTTGATATTTGTTTTTAATGTGAATTGATGCTGTGTTTTTGTCATGTCTACAAGAGCCTCATTTGTACCTGCATAATAAATTCTCTTGTTGCTGTTGTTGTTGTTGTTGTTGCTGTTGTTATTGTTGTTGTTGTTGTTATTTGTGATCAGCCTTGATTCAGTCAGGACAATGTACTTTGTAATAGCTGTCATAGTAAGTACCAGATTTCCAATAACCAGTAAGTAACCAGACTTCTTTTCATCTTTCTTATTCTTTCATTATTAAGAAGTAAAGAATTAAGGTAAATGATATTTCCACATTTCACCTTGTATGAAGAACCTGAGAGATTGATAATAGGTGGTACCTTGCTGGTAAATGTTAGTTTATAGCATTTGACAACAGTGGACAAATACATGCAATTATTTGGAAAATGTCTCCAGTATTTGTTTGGATGTAAATCTCTTCTTAAATCTTTCCAGCTGGGAGTTAGGCTAGTCTTTCCTTACAGTGGAATCTGGGCTTTGTTCTCATGTTCAGCTCAGCTCACTCTGGAATAATTCAGAAACATATTAGATTGCTACTCCCAAAAGGCTTAATGGAATAACCTTCACTCCTAGCCTCTGGGAAATCAGCTCACAATCAGGCAGATTTCTTGATTAAAAGGTAAAACAAACTGTGTGCATATTGCTTCATAACAATTTGCAGAGTCCATCTTAGAAATTTCTTGCAGAGAACTGATATAAAGTTTATATATTTTGCAAGGCCTGTGATAGTCAAAAGCTCTTAAATGGTTTTTTTTGTTTATTCTCCCCAAATCAACATTTTTAATATGTATTTTTACATTCTCATGATAGACAGGGCTGGGAAATCTTGCTGGGAAATCAGTGAAACATAATATCTAAACCATATTTTAAACATAATACTAATAATATAAATGGTTAAGTCAAACTAGGTACAAAACACTGGGTAACTTTAAGCTGTCAATTTGTATTTGGTAATTTGTTTTTGATGATGTACAACAAAGGAATGAAAGTGATTGCATGTAATGTTGTGACTACAGGTGTTTTCTGGTTAAATTATTCAATAAATCAAAATCAAGCTTGTTGCTGTAGGTATTCTTTGGAATAGGATATTTTAAGATTCTCAATAGCTTTCTTTTGATTGAACAGGACACTCATGTCAGGTGAAAAACATGCTGTATTTTGATTAATGGCTGCATTTGGAGGCCAAGTCTAGGGATATAGTAAAAAGCAGCTCATATTTTACTTTATTTGTTTTAAAAAATGAAGCTTATATTACATAAAGGAAACAATTTTTAGATGCCCTTTCGAACTACTAACTGCCTCTCTGAAACTCTTGCTTCATAATTACCGTACACACAGTCTCCTCTGTGCATTATAGAGTATATGCAGTTTGTGTTTGTTAGCCTGGAACTGATTACCTCTTTAGTTAATTAGATAGTTCTCAGCCCAAAACAGGCCCAACCACATAGGGGAAATATTACTATATTTTGTTCACAATGGTTGAGAATTTGAGGATTCAACATTCTTGGATGTGCAGTGAAATTGTAGACCTTGTGCAAGTCCTTCATTGTCACCAGAAAGATTGTTCAGTCCTAATACTTAACTTTTCCAAAAACCATAGGAATTACATGGGAACAAGAGATAAGAGGATTAGGTTTTCTGGGTTCTTTGCAATATATACAAAATGGATTTTTAAATGCCTGTTTCTCATGGTTTCTTCTTAGGGCATTGTGTCTCAGCACACCAGAATGATGACAGCAACCTTGGGTTTCCATGAGAGAACATCTGAGCTGATCAAACAATCTGTGTCTGTTTCCTCTTAAAGTTGAAACTGAGACCCAGAACTAAATGTTAGGAAGATGTGAAACTGCTGCTGAAAACATCTTCTCCTCCTATTTCCCTTTTGGTGCCTAGTAATATAAAATGTGTGGTATGATGTTACTGCAAATATCCTTATCCCCTTTTCACCATTGGCTGCTGTTTCAGGAGAGGGAAACTTAAAGGGTTTTGATGCCATATCATGTGTTTTGAATTATTAAATATCACCAAAAGTGGAGAGGGGGAGGGGGAGGGGGAGTGGAGGCTGTTGTCAGTGGCAGCCCCACATATCCCATAATATCTTTGTCCTGTCTGGGAATGTTTATAAACATGTCAAAGTATCTAAAATGCAAATCCCACCAGTATTTTCTTTCTTTCTTTCTTTCTTTCTTTAGATTAGTAATTTAGACATTCTTATTACAAAGCAGTATCTTTTGGGGCATTTTGCAAGTAAAAATGAAATAAAACACGGCATGAAAATAAAATTTAGAACAGAATAAAACCACCAAGAGAGAACAACATTATTAACAATTGTTCCAAAAGGGACTAAAAAATTGGGAAAACCTTGGAAAATGAAAATGCCTTCAGCTTATACAACTTACTTATAACCTGTAACATAGAATAGGAGAAGAAATTTTGGGTTGGATCCAGGTTGCTCTTCAGTTCTACTAGGGGCTTTACTTTCCATCAGCACCCCCATACAACATATCCCACATCATTCTCCCAAATCTCCAACTCTTGGACCCCAATATTCTAGAAATGTAAGGGTCTACAGAGGAAAAGAAGCAGCAGAAAAATCCCATTTCATAAAAGTATCCTTTTATGTTAACCCCCCCCCCAACAAATTTGGATCAGATTTGCTGCTGCTATTATTATGTTTTGTACAGAAATTAAATTATGTGCATATAGCCAGTGCCTGTTTTTTAAGAGATAAAACATTGTCTCTAAATTTTATAATTTTATAAGAAAAGTAAAAAGAAAAGGGTCAGTCAAGACAAAAGAAGGCATCTGAGAGAAGCACTTAAATGTGAAAAGAAAGGAAGAGTAGAAGTGATATGAAAAGCAGTGGTAAAGGGAGATGGGAAGCAAGCAGAGAATACAGAGGGCAAATATAAGCTGAAGGTTTATATGTGAAGAGCTAAGAGCTAAAGGAGGAGCTGCTAGAAAAGAGAGGATAGATACAGAGGGGCAAGACTCTGGAGACATTAAGTCCAAGAAGCTTAAAGTGAAGACTGGAGGAGAGAGGAAGCCATTGATGAAAATGGTACAAAGGAATAATATGCAGAAAATATCAAATATTATATATTCAAAAACTTTTGGATAAGAAGATGTACAATTGCTCCCCCTCAGGCATTGACTCACTAGGTGGCTTTCATAACCTAGCCTCTGTTCCTCAGTCTTCTGTCAGCCCTATTTATTTAATAACTTATTTTAAAATAAGTTATTTTAAAATAAATATTTATTTAAATATTTTAAAATATTTTTTTAAAATATTTTTTTAAAATAAAAAGTAAGGGTTGTTTGACAGTGGAACACTCCCTTCTCCTTCTTTAGAGGTCTTTAAACAGAGGCTGGATGGCCATCTGTTGTGTATGCTTTGATTGAGAGTTCCTGCATGGCAGGGAGTTGGACTGGATGGCCCTTGTAGTCTCTTCCAACTCTATGATTCTATGATTCTATAAAAGGTACATGCAGATTTCAAAGTGTTTTCATGCACAATTTACAACCAGCAACAGATTGTAGAAACAGTGATATTGAATTGCTCTTAAGACTGCTATGTGTGCAGTATTATATACATTCTAGGTATTGCTGTTACTACCAGCAACATGGTGATAATTATGGTGTGTGTGTGTGTTTGTGTGTCTGTGCCTGTGTCTGTGTGTAGGCAAGTCTATGAGCTATTACCCTAAATGTGTGGTAAAGTCAGATTGAGTGTTCCCCAGACTAATTAAAGATACATAGCTGTTGTTTGTGGAGACTCTACTAGCCCAACACATTTAGGGTAATAGGTCCTAGACTCTATTAGCCCCACACATTTATGTGAGAGGGGTAACATAATATGCAGAATCCAGCACAGCCTGTTACAGATGGCTTCCAGGTGTTTTGGGAGTACAGCGTTTACATGCTGCATGCTCCAAAGCCGTCTGGAAGCTGGGTGGCCAGCCTGGGGTTGCGGTGGATCTGGGAAAGCTGG